TAGATGTTTTTCTCCACGTTTTCATAGTTTTCAGGACCATGAGATATTGCTTGTCTGGAGTCCATCATGGCAGGACTTTACTGTCACTCTTTGTGGAAAAGTGTTACTATTTTCATACATGGATCTGCTCACAAACTGCAGCACTCTCCTCAGTTTTGTGTGGCAATAAACCCACTGTAAGCATATTACCGCCCCCTAAAGGGCTGGAGGGAGAAAGTCAGTCCTGTTAAATGTAACATGACCAAAACTGAGTGCTTTTCCGACTTGGAAATTAGATTTTGTTATATTGCAATTATGTTACAAATCCAACTAATTGTTCCCCACTACTAATGGATAATAAAAAATAAAATAAGCATTCAGAAAGTTAAAATTTTTTGAAGGTGATTTTATGGCTTAACATGCCCCAGGGCAGCTGTGGCTACAATGTAGTTTGCCACCATTAGTGGGTGAGTGAATGACTGAATGTAGTGTAATGTGCTTTGGTCAAGTCCTCTGACTTGAAACAAGCGTCATATAAGTACAGATTATTTACAAATTGTTCAGCAGACAGATACTGACTCCTTCCATATGGAGAGTAGGATACCAGACACTATCATCAAACAACCCTGCTGGTCAGAATGCTATATCAAAATATATCAATGGAAGATTGAGTCGAAGTGGTGTAGGAAAAAAATTACAAGCATGACATAAAGATTTTTAGCTTTAACATTAAACGCCATAAGACTCTTACCTGGGAAATGGAGAAAAAGAACCAGACTGTTGGTCGGTGGCCTAAAGTCATTTATTTTTCATTTTTTTTGGGATTAAACCAGGTCATTTTGTTATAAAGTTTATTTTCTGACCGGGTCATGGGGGCTTGGTTGTTTAGTCTTAATGTGTTTGAGTTCTGGAGAGTCCTTGGAAAAACATTTCAAGGCATTTTAAGGACTTGTTGCAGGGATATTGGGTACCAGGTGAATAAAGCTCCATCCAGTCCTTGTGTCACCAAGACAAATGCTGCACATTCACAGCTTACAACCATTCCCAGTCCATGTTGTAGGTAGAGTTAAGAGGTGTAAAGGCGTCTTCATCAAAAGGCCAATGTCTGATATGAAAACTGCAGGGTTTATTTTCTGAGTGATGTCATCCTGTTGGTGTCTTCAAACCATGACCCTCTGCATGCACTCCAGCATTTTGTAGCCAAGCATGAATCAGCAGAAATAAAGGTAATTCTTTCACCATTGTTGTCAAACTGTAAAGGTGGACTGCCCCTTCCAGCTCAGTCATCAGTAGCTACATCATGATTTTGGTATCTGATTAATTGGTGTTGGTAGGATGGAGCAGGATGTGGAAAAAATCATGAGTAACCCTGAGATGACTTGAGAAAGGGGTTTCCTGAGAAGATAAACAAGTATAGACAATGATTGGATGGAGATATAGATTGTGGCCAAATCTACTGTAACGAAGAAACATATGAGCCTAAAATACAAGTTCTTGTTTTATTGATTGCTCTACATTTGAACCATTATCATAGATCACGAGATATAAATAATGGCTGAAGAATTAGATCATGGATACATAATAGGTGAAATAACTTTCCTCCACAGCAGCTTTTGAATCAACCTTGGAAATAAATAAGGTCAGGATCATCATTAATCAGGGAAGAGCATCTGGACAACACTGAATATATAACTTCAGAGAATATTTTTTCTTTTTCTAATGTTGGCAGGAAAAGTAAAGTCCAAATTAAATTGCTAACGGGACCACACAAGAGGCCAGGCTCTCTAATGAAGCTCTTTCTCACTGCTTTAGTCATTGTTTATGATTTGCGTGCAGCAATGGCATTATGACACATTACAGTGCATGAAGCAATGCTTTAGCCACTCCTAACATGTAACACATGCTAGAAGCATGCTGGATGTTCTTACACGTGTTGACCTCTAAATCTAAATGACAGATGCTAAGGGAGATTTTCTCCTGACTGTAAACAGGCAGTGCTTCCAATCAGGATCCAGCTTGATGTGGTTGTCACCTTAAACACAGAAACCATCTGAGGGCAGTTCTCCATTCCTTTCTCATTAGATTATGTCTGTGAGTCCTCTCTAATAAAGCTGACTGCATGGTTGATGGTGGGTGGATTTCTTTATGCTGTTTTATCTCAGGTTTGATGGGGAGATTACGATTGACTAATAATAGTCTTTACCTCAAATGACTGATCATTGAAGTGCAAAAACATGATTTAAAACGAAAGAAAAATGCTTAACTAGTCCTTTCGGCTGTTCGAAAGTAACCAGGTTTTCAGGGTGGTTTCAGACTGCAGGCAACAATCAACAGATTTGTGTGGTCTTGTTTCCTGCAGAAATTACATATAATGAACTGATTAAAGATTTATGGATGTTTTTCAACTCTGACCTGCTCTATTAAAAATACTTAGATTAAAGCCTCTTACAATGCAAAATCGTTTATCTTTTGTTGGTCTATGAGAGCAGTATCCATAAAACAAGTTTTTCTTTTCTTTTTTTTTTCTTTGACTTTGTGTATTTATAATTCTGAAAATTTGATAATGCAAAACAAAAAACATATAACATTTTTTTAATAAGTATTTAAGCAGTTCTTTTTTTTAGAAATAACTTTTGAAATAAATAAATTTAAAATACACATTGACTTAAGCTATCTGCATCTATCAAATATATTGATATATAAATACATCAAATGGAAATAACCATTATCAAAAAGTAAATAAATATTGTGCTAATTCTAATTAAATAAAATTAATTTGGCTTTAACACACTGACCTATTAAATATCCCGTTGCTACTGTTAGGTGTTTGCTGTGCAGTATGGCTGAAAAATGTATCATATTATAAGCCATTTATCTAATTTTCTATCATTGGTATGTTTTGTTTATATATGTGAAAAAAAGGTTAGAAAAAAAGCTAAGAATTTAAACTATAACCAGAACCTTATCTTAACATGACCTTCAGACTAAAACAACATTATTAACCTGACTGCAAACCTTGCTTAGTTTGTTTATGAGAGGCTCTGGATCTGAGTTCAGTCGAATTATTGAACATTATATTGATGTGTCTTCTATTGCTCAGATATCTATTACTATATATATATATATATATATATATATATATATATATATATATTGATTCATTGCCCACTCATAGCTGCTGTAAATTCAAGCTCAGTATTAGTCATTCATCTAGATTTTGATTCCAAATAATTCTAAGAAGTTTTTCTCTGATAGGAAATGAGATGGTCGTATCTTGGTTAAGGTATATATATATATATATATATATATATATATATATATATATATATATATATATATATATATTAATACAATTTTCCATAATTTAAAAAATGTTTTTTTTTTTTCTTAGGTTTACAGCAGACAAAAAAACACAGTGTTGCAAATCTTGACTGTCATGTGTTTTTGGTCCAAGTCTTTAAATTCATTTCCCCGATGAACAAACTAACTCTCCGTTTTTGTTGTTGTTTATTTGAATGCTGTCTGTGCTGCAAATACCGATACATTTGTAAATTCCCTGTTTAATACCTTGCAGTTTTGATTTTTCTATGCCGGACGCAAAATGCTGAAACTATAACCAACAAATATATTCTTTCTTTAAGATATTAAGAAGGAAAAAAAGATGAAGTCTCAAGATATAAGTAAGCATGTGTTCCCTTTCCTTTCCCTGTAAGGTTGAACAGTAATTTAAGAACATCTGGCTGAGCTGCTGAACCAGAGCATCATTCATCATGATCAGATCCATTACTGTCATCTTCTGCGGTGAGAAGCAATCCGTCTCTATGCATTACACTGATTCCCTTGTTTTAAAATGTTTCAGTCTTGTCTACAGTGTCTCATATCTCCATCAGAATCAGACTGCAGTAAATCCACACCATCAAACAGCTGCATCTTCTGTTTTTTGCGGCCTTGTGGATGCAGGAAAAATGCTGACGATTAGGTTTCTGTGCCTGCTAATATGTCTAACGGCCTCTTCTTCACCTGCAGCGTTCCTCTTGTCTTGGGCATGCTGGGCCAAGCCAAATGGATCAAAGAGCAAGAAACCAAAGCAAGGTAAATGTCTCCATCGGCAGCCAAAAGCCTGTAATTTTCAATGTTATCGTTGTTATTATATGTCTTACTTTTCTGAGTAAACTGGGGTTCACAGGAAGGTGAAAGTTGCAGCAACAGCACTAAGTGAAGAATATAACAGGGCACAGGAAGTGCTGAGAGAAATCTGACATTTTTTGTTGATGGTATTTATTTAAAAGGTTCTTAAGATTAAAAATAAAATGCCAGTAAATGGTCAATTCATATTCTAACTCACCCATAAGGGCCATGCATGTCATGCTATTCTGACCTCTTAATGAGACCATTTAACTGTTCTTTTATGAAACAAAAGCCGATTCTGATGTGTTTCTGAGATCATTGTTGCAAAACCCAAATGAGTTTTACCCATCCAGCTGTTTATTTAGCAGTTTGTCATTATTTGATCCTTTTTGTGAAATCCATTAGAGCCGCCAGCAGTGCAGCAGTAATACCCTTGATGCTGCCACCACCATGCTTGACAGTTGCTCCAGTGCTCTTGATTAGTCAACTTCAAACCTTTCTCTTGTTATTGTTGAGAGATATAAATGTTATTTTCTTTGAAAATCATTTTTCCTGTCTTTGTGGACAGCCCCAGATTTCAGAGCTTGATGGGCTCTTTTTTTTTTTTTGTTGACATCCTACAAACCACGGAGCTGAGAAAATAGTTTCTTGGTCTACAGATACGCTGCTGTTCCAACAGTTACCAGTTCTTAAAAGGGTTTAGACTCTCAGGAGCTACTAAAGTGACTCTGATCATTCTAACCTATTTTTCTTAGTGTCACAGTTCAAATTAAACCAGATCTCTGAATTCAATTCAATTCAGTTTATTTCTATAGCGCCAATTGACAACATATGTCATCTCAAGGCACTGTAGAGTTCACCAGATCATCCAGTCAAATTGATCCACTTTTCCATCTAAGGAAAACCAGTTGACTGCATCGACTCATTGACTCAAATTCAACCCCTCACAATAAGCATGCTTGTAGCGACAGTGGAGAGGAAAAAGTCCCTTTTAACAGGAAGAAACCTCCATCAGAACCAGGCTCAGTGTGAGCGGCAATCTGCTGAGGCCGACTGCGGTTCAAGGAAACAGAAGCAGAGATACAAAAAGCAGCTGTAAAAGGCGGCCCCGTCCAGGAAACACAAAATGAATGTGACACATATCCTGGATAGAGAAAAGAGACTTTTGAGTGACACTCTTACAGTAGCTCCCTTCACTATCTTCTGCAGGACCTTCTTGTCAGCCACATTGAAGCTTAACTATCACACAGAGGCCCTGTCCACATAGAGACAAACTTAGATCTTCAAAGGTGTTTTCTTATTGTGTCTACATGAATGTGGAGTTTTGATTAACCATAAACGGATCATTTTTTAAAGTGGAAAAAATGTCAAAAAGCTGGTTCTGTGTGCATAAGAAATGTTTCATTTCTGAAACAATGCTGTTGTAGTACCACCTTGGTCCGTAACCTGAAAGTCAAGCTCTTCTGTTCACCTGGAACAAGTTGTTTTTGTCTACTGGATTGAGTGGGTTTTTGTGATAGTGTAACAGCGCCAACAAAGGGGCTGGCATACTAACTGCAGTGTTTTCAACGGTGTTGCATGCAGTTGTGTGGATGCAGTTTATTGTTTTTCTACCTTGGTGTTGACAGTGCCTGAAATCCAGCCAAAGATCTGTTGAATATTGGGTGGATTCTGTGTTAGGGGCCCTAAAATCAAAATAAATAAATAACTAAATCAAAGCTCCCCCAAAATGAGGAGATTGTAATGTGCTGACAAATTTGTTATGCCTTCTATAACCCTCTGTACTTTCTTTGCCATTTTTGTGGTTCATTTTTTCCACAGTTGTTCCAGATATAGAGTGTGACGTCAGAGCGGGGAAGGTTACTGTTCCAGAGTTTATTGCCAGGTGTCCGGCACGCTGTAAAGAAACCAAGCAGCAGGTCTACGGGACGGGCATCTATGCCTCCATCTCCAGCATCTGCAATGCAGCCATCCATAGGTATAGAGACTAAATATCACCACAAATGACTGGTGAGAGTTATGTTTAACAAACATGCTGTCTGCACAGTGGGGTCATCACAAACGCAGGGGGGAAAGTAATTGTGAGGAAAATGGCTGGGCAGAACATCTACAAAGGCAGCAACTCTAACGGGGTGCGATCCCTGTCACTACCAAAGTGGAGGGAGTCCTTTGTTGTCTCAGGTACTGTTGTAGGGTTATATATTTTTAAAGCAGATATTACAAAAAATAATTGCCAAATAAACGCTGGGTTTGTTGTGTTTCAGTCGGGAAACCAAAGAAAGGAGTCATTTACCCTTCCACTCTGGACTACGTTACTTCGAGACCAACATATGTGAAGACAGGTCAGAGTAGATTATTTTTTGTTTTTTTACACAAACAATATAGATTCTTAATTCATTTCCTTTAGTTTTCTTCTCTTCCTTTCCAAGTGTTACACTTGATGAACACTGGTTTTATGGTTTACAATTCATTCTGCAATGATACAGTTTCCCCATTAAAAGAATCATTTTTTCACAGTTTTGTTTACTTATTTTTTAATTCAGTTATTAAGACCTTAGCTATAGAATTTTACGACACAAATTATTTAAAAGAAGCTGAAAGAAGAGCTAAAATCTTTCACATTTTCCCATCAATGGAATCGTTCAGTATTTTTTTTTGACGTTACAAACACAAACTCCAATATATTTTACTAGGATGGTACGTTATAGAACAACAGCAATTACTGCAAAATGTTTAAACTTTTTTGTAAACAAAAACCTGCCATGCATTTCATCAAATTCAACTACTAAATTAGTTTGCTGCTCTGTGAAAACCTCTGAGGCTTATTAAAAAATAGTAGTTGACAATGCTGCACATCACTATGAACACAACATGCCTGCAGTGAAACATGGTGTAGGCAGTGTCATTCTGCGGTGGTGCCTGTGTTCAGAAAGGAAAGGAGAAAATGTTTTGAGATAAGACGAAAATCGATTGACAATCCTCGAAGAAACCTTGTTTAGTAAAGGCTCAAAAACCTTAAGCAAACAGCCGTAGAAATAATTGGTTTAGACCAAAGCATGTCTTAATGTTTGAATAGTCCAGTTCTATTATCTGTCTGAGGATGAGGTACTTCAAAGCAGAAAAGGGGGAAATGCCTTCTATAGAAAGCTGATGAAGATGTCCTCTGAAGCATTCACACTTTGCAGTAAAAGGTGGTTAGAATTTCATGACACCTTTAGGCTTCAATTCAATTCAGTTTATTTCTATAGCGCCAATTCACAACACCTCATCTACAGTTCAACAGATCATACAGCCAAATTGATTCAAAGATTTCTATCTAAGGAAAACCAGCTGATTGCATCAACTCATTGACTCAAATGCAATCCCTCAAACTTAGCATGCTTTTAGCGACAGTGGAGAGGAAAAACTCTCTTTTAACAGGAAGAAACCTCCAACAGAACCAGGCTCAGTGTGAGCGGCCATCTACTGAGGCCGACTGGGGTTCAAGGAGACAGAAGCAGAGATACAAAAAGCTGCTGTAAAATGCGGCCCCGTTCAGGAAATACACAGCCAGGCAGACGAGCTCTGAGCCAGCTCCAATGTCAGAGGATGAAGAGAGCACATCCAGCCAGTCACGGTCAGAGAAACAGGACTACACTGGAAAACAGGCCGATCTCCAGCATCTATAAAGAAGGGTGTTGATGGAAGAAGCACAGCTGATATTTCTCTCCAGGATGGAGTCACAGCCAAACAGGAACAGACGAGGCAAAGCTACTCTGAGAAAAAGCAGAGAGAGCAGAACGTTAGAGATTAAACTAACAGATTCTGCAGAGTGGGAGAATAGAGATAGAATGAAGGAGAATGATGAAATAGGAGTCCATATGTGCTCCAGAAGTCTAAACCTATAGCAGCATAACTTTAGAGATAGCTCAGGATGTGTGATTCACATGTGTGCTTCATTGCATTTCTGAGTCAAAAGGTGACACCCTACAGTACATTTGTCTCTGGCATGCTGAACTTCACTCAGCCAGAATAAGGATTTGGATGCTGCACTCGTCTAAGAATGACAAGAATGCAAAACAACACAGAGGTTACAGTGTAGACGCTCGTCCTGCCTCATCCATTCTTCTTGTTTGTGACCGCCTTCATCTTTTCTTCATTTCCAGGTCAAAAAGACGCCAAATCAACAACACTGCCGCCAACAACGACAGCCTCTGAAGTCATCGCAACCACCCCGGAACCAACCACCACCACAACCACAACAACTGCTCCCACTACCACCACCACTACCACTACACCTCCACCACCACCCACCACCACCAAAGCCAGAGCTGCAGTGCATAAAGTTAGGGATGCAGGTGAATAAAACAAGCAGTTTAAAATGATAAACGGTAAACAAGCAACCCGCCTCTTCTGCTTGACATCTAACTTGCAACATTAGCAGCTTGTAATCTGAACCTGCAGCTTGCCACAACAATCATTCTTTTCTGTAATGGCTGATGAAGACGAATGATTGCAGCTGGTAATTACAACTGCAATTATGGAGCAGCTACAGATCCTCTGTGATGAAGTTAATACAGTACAGGCTGTCTTAACTGCAGATCAGCAGAGCTTTCATCACTGATTAAATGAACACACAATCAGGCAGTGATCACTGAGAGTCTGCATCATTTTGGATGGAAGTTTAGCTACGGTGGGTAGACAGTGCCACCGTATCTTAAGGTATGCTTTCAAATGAGATGGGCAGTGTGCCAAATAGCCTCCCGAGCGTTCCCTCTCTTTCATTTCTGTAACATTATCTTCCTTCTTTCCACACCGGCACACCATTTGTTTTTCTTCCATCCAGGCAGCAGTCATCCGTACCTTGCTCATGTGGCCGCCACAAGTTCAAGTAAGTGAAGCAAACCAGAGACAGTTTTACAGAAGGAGGGTTAGAATAAGGTGCTGCAGTGGTAATGGGGTGTTCTAGTGTACACTGACCTTTGCAAAACAACTTTCAAACATCCCGTAAATTTTGCATTTTTAATTCAACTTAAATGTATTTTTGGGGATTTAATGTTATAAGCCAACAAAATGATCATTTGGAAAATGCTGAAAGGTTTAACAAAAAGAAAGCCTATGTTTTCCACTTTCTAGAATAAACTTTTCCTATGATTATATTTGCAGGTCTTTTGCATATTAGAAGGCCAATATTTTTTGTGCATAAATTTGCTCAAGTTTCCAATGATTGGAGAGAGGGCGTCTTTAAACATCAGTTTCCAGCCCTGCTATATATTCTCAATTGGAGTTAAGTGTAGACTTTAACTGGTCCGTTCTAACACAACTGCTGTACCTGTGAGGACATGTTCTTTTGGAAGCTAAACCTTTGCTATGGTCTCACTTCTCACTTCAGTCTCTAACAGATCGGCTTGCTGTATTTCTTTATATCAGCTCCATCTATCCTCTAATTAACTCTAACCAGCTTCCCATGCTCTGCTAAAGAGAGACATTCCCATAGCATATTACTGCCACCACCATGTTTCATGGTAGGGACTGTGTCCAGAGTAATGTATGCATTTTCTTTCTTTTTTTTTTTTAAACCACACCCTCATAGCATTTGGCACTTGTATTGATGAAAGCACATTCTTCCCTGTTATCTTTCCAATGCATGACTTGTACTTAAACGAATAGTACACCCAAAATATGATTACCCTTCATTTTCTACTCACCCCCATGCTGAACAACACTCTGGAGTACTTTTTTGATATCTCAAATGCATCTGGAGATCTGGGAGGCTTC